AGAAGTCTTGAATATTTTTCAGCGTTTTGTAGTACATGCTCTTTGGAAAGCTGTTACTGCTCGTGATCCGCTTACGATTTTTTCTGTATTCAATTCAGGTTGCGGTTATTTATTTCCATGATAAATTTACCTGGTTGAAAGGTGCTGGGCTTTTGATTATTATGGTTGGTGTCGGCTTATTCAACTGGTACAAGTAAGTCTTATGTCAGCATAGGTTTGAAATAATCTACTGTAACTGAAATTTGTTTGTCTAATTGTTTTTTTTTTGGAAGTTTAAAATATCTGAACCGTGATAGTGACTGAAATTAGGCATTCAGACCAAGGAATCTAGTGGCTGTCAGTTGGTTTTAGTCCTAGTTTATTTTTTCACTCCATAGATTTTACAGACTGACCTCAGTAAGTCATAACTAGATAGCAAAAATGCCCATGTCAGAACCAAACAAAAAGTGACCCTTTTGGTGCTTTTATTCTTTCAGGACTGCAATGTTTTGTTTTACTTATTTATTTATTTCTTGGGATGTAATTTGAATTTGCTATTAAGGTTATGTATAGCATGAGAGTAATGAAATAGAGATTAGTGTATAAGCGGTAAGTGTTAAAGGTGTTCAGCTGGGAGTGTGCATAATATTTGGCCCCAATCAATGAAGATGTCAAGTAAAATTTTGAATTGAACTTTTATAAAAACTACAATAATGTTCATTAGCGGGACCAACATCAGCAAGCAAGTAAAATAGGGATGGTCTATCAGTTTGAGATAGTCAGAAAAAAGAAAGCCCTGAGCCCATGAAAAATTTATAACCTCCCTCTCATCAAGTTTAATGCTTAAACCTCAGTCAGGGGCTGAATGTCACCCCTCCTTAACTTTTCCTTTTCCCAGCACGTCTACCAACCAAAACTAACTGTATTCCCCTTAACATTTAACTGCTTTTACTCTCAAAACAAACACCTATCAAGCAGTGGCAATTCTGTCTTAGAAGAACCAAGAAAAATTGCAGAATAATTGGGCCCATAACCTGCGCTATTGACTTCTTTTTCTCTATTGTCCTAGTAATAGCAGCATAATCCAGGTAGAACGTCTCGTATGATGTGCGCTCTCTATTGATGTTCACTAAACAGTCATTTATTTATGTCAGTTTTTTGTTGAGATTTTTGCTTGCTTGTACCTGAATTTGGTCAATCTAAAGCTTCTTAATATCGTATCCCTTAATGAAATGGGGCTGGTAGAACCGAATTGAAACCTTTTAGTGCCTCTACAGTTCATTGATACTTACAGTTGTGTTCCATGACAAGTTGCACAACATTAAAGCAAAGAATGGAAGACGCAAACCTGCATCATCATAAATCCTAAATTTCACTCCAGTCCAAATCATAGATTCTACCCTACCAAATCCACCACTTAGGAGTTTATGTTCACATTTCAAATTCAATTTCATCATGCTCGTGATTATATGGTGTTAATTTTGCCACCCTGTGCAGGTACCAAAAGCTACAGAAGGGCCAAACAAGTGAAAATGACTCATCCCCAACAAATGTTGCAACGAAGTATGTTATCCTTGATGAGATGGATGATCTAGATGATGGCACTTGATGGTTCTATAATCTTAAGTAAGTTTCTTTTAGGCACTCATTGTTTGGTTCAGTATTTCAGTAGCTGAAGCCCTCCTGCTGTTTTATCTCTAGGCATTTTTTCTTGTTTCAGCTTTGTGTTATGGCCACAGGTCATTTTGTCATTTTTTTTTTTTTTGTTGATGCTTTTCACCTTTGCTTTCTACTTGATGACCTGTGCTGGTAATAAATATTATTTGCCATATGATAAAAAGACTAGGTTTCTCATTGTCCTTGGAAATATCATTGAACTTGCAAGAACCTGTTTACTTCGTTAATGAAGCAGTCTTCGTTTTGTGCTGTACAAATATTTTTATTTGTTCCCACCCTCATTTTCCTTCATTTGCCTTCCGAACAGAAGCCAGGTGAATTGAGGTTTACTTGTTGTAGAAGTTCGTGATGGGTGCTGCCGGCAACTACTCTTGGATTTGCAAAGTTCCTTGCTCATCAAGCTTTTAACTTGTACTTGTACTTGTACTCATACAAAGACGATAGATTGAGAAATTTGGAGCCATGAAAGAGTCAAGAGAGAAGATCCCTTGACATTTTTGTCTTCCCATGGTTAGCAGAAAATTGTAGTCTTCTCTATCAATTGTATCCTGGACCAAGCACATGCTCATCGATTTGTAGTCTAATATTCCATTCAATTGTGGTATTATTTTGCCTTTCTTTCACGTTATTGTTTAAAGCATAGAGAGAATGTAATCGTGAAACCCATGTTATAGTAGATCACATTTTTTTTTTTTTTTTGCAACAACTTGGATAAATCCCTTGAAGAATTGCAATGGTGGGAATACCGTATTTTGAAAAAGCGAACGTGCTATAGCGACAAATCCCTGTGCCCCCTTTTTTGATGGAGATTGATTAAATTTGTCCCTGTTTCATGCTGAACTAAATTTGGAGATGACTCGGTTGAATGTACGCTAGTTAATTCCTGATTTGATCGATTTTTATTTAAAATATAGGGTTTAGGGTTTTTAATTTATTTTTGTATTATCTGTCAAAATTAAATCTCAGTTTTTTTTTTAAAAAAGAATCTTGTGACTGGGTTGATAATATTCGTCTCTGCTCGGTCAAGGGTTTGCAAGTAATCTTAATGAATACGCCCCTTCCTTTCTCTAACCAAACAATGAAATTCTGTTGAACTTTCTTTAATCCAATCAATAAATACGCCCCTTCCTTCCTTTTAATTTGCGATTCTTAACCGTAACCCCCTCCCCCTCCTCAGTCTCCATCCTGATTCCCCCTAGCATACAGTAAATTGCTTGCCCTAGTCTCCCTGGAAATTGTCATTTTACCATCCAAATAAATAAATGGTGGTATGGGTCATAGTGGGCTTTACCAAAACCCAGGATCTGTGATTTGTCACCCATCATCGAGCCCCACCCTACTTCAGAAAATAAATTGAAGGAAAACAAAGGCTCAAATTGGAAATAGAGAAAAATAAAGAGGAGAAATTCGTGATTTTGAATAATATTCAAAAGGGTTTTCATGAATTGGCCTATATATACAAGTATAACCCTCACCGTCAACATCATGGCCAAGGTAGGGTTTTTGGCCAAGCCGCTCAAGCTTCCATCCTTAGTTTCAAGTTCTCAATTCTCTTCCAATCCCGGTTTGTTACGATCAAATAATCAAAATAATTGATGGGTTATCTTAATTCTTGTTGTTTTTTATGCAATCCGATGATCAAATAATCAAAATAATTGATGGGTTATCTTAATTCTTGTTGTTTTTTATGCAATCCGATGATCAAATAATCAAAATAATTGATGGGTTATCTTAATTCTTGTTGTTTTTTATGCAATCCGATGATCAAATAATCAAAATAATTGATGGGTTTTCTTAATTCTTGTTTTTTATGCAATCCGATGATCAAAGGAATTGATGGGGCTGAAGTTTGGCTCTTTGGCTGATTAAAAGTGCCATAGAGATGAATGCAGCTACCTATATCAAGCAACCCTTTCTCACCCTTTTTCGCCTTCTTATTTTTCTGGCGGATTTCTGTAGAAAGGCTGATACATCCTTGATTCTTTTTCTTTGTTTTTTTGTTCTGTGTCGAGTAGTAATTCAGGCAGCCTCTTTGCTGAAAAGAAGATAGCAAAGAAGGTGTTAAACTGCTCGTACATCAATTTGTCTTATGCTCTTCAGATTTGCTGAGACTTCTCGTCTTTGAAGCTGGTCTAGTAAGCCTAAGCACATCATCTTTTCTTTTTATCCTTTATTTTTTCCGAAAACTAATCCTTCATTTTATTATTTGAAGGAGAAATATATAATCTCCAGTGATAATTTGTTCTATATTTATACAAGAATAGAATAATTTTCCTTTTTAATTATCAAATACTAAAAGATTATGATTAGAATTGATCGGAGTTGCTCGTGATAAAATTTGTACAAACTATTGGAAAGAAGTTAAGGGCATTCCTTTGAGTGGATGGGGAGGAATGGAAGTTGCTGTACCATATAAGGATCGATTCATGGGATTGAAATGTATCTTATGGTGTACAAAGGATTACTTGCTATGACCGTATACTTTGAGAGAGAATCAGCTAGTACTTTCAGTTTTGAGTTATCGACAGTGATTGTGGACACGGTCACTCATATGCAGAAACCTCTTTGAATCTATGGCTATGTACCTTTTTGGGAATTTGGAATGGTAAGGAAATAATAATGCTCAACAGAAACCATTCCCACAAGGTTTTACCTTGACTTCCAATTGTTTGATCCCTTTACACGAAGTATGATTTTGATAAACACTATGATGAAGCTCACGTATTGTTTTCGGTCTCTGGTCTGTACAGAAACCATAAACAACTATGGTTTTCATTTTTGAGGATCTGAGTCTTGGATGACAAGTAAGCAGTCGGGGGTGTTGCGAAGAGCACTCGTGCAGATTGTTAGACAGGAGTCCTGCCACCCATCACATTGTACAGTGATAAAGATTGCCTGGATTGGACATTTAGATGCTTAGCGTGGATGATAAATTGTTTTGGTTTGGTCCCCATATTATCATTCATGATTTCAATTTTAGAGAGAGCCGGAATTTACTAGCGGAGATGTAAATTGTTTTGTAGGTTCCGACCAAACGGAACAGTTAGTTTCAATGTCTATGAATTTCATGGCAAAAAAAAGATGATCTTCTGCAGGACCCTTTGTAAAGCCCATTATTAGCTTGTAGTTACGCAGTGCGCTGCAATAAAAACATCATTTTTAGTGTTTTTTTAGCGAAACGCAAGTACTGTAGTTCACCGTTTCCAAATGGGCACTGTGTAGTAGTAATTGAATATCATGGAGGAAATTTGATTTATTGAGTCAATCCCAAACAAAGTTACAATATGAATTGATGGGACTTAAAGCATTCGAGGATCAAATATCCTTGCAGTGACCCAAAATAAAGAAACAAAAGTAGAAAAAGCTCGACAAGTTGGTTTCTGAGCTCGCATTGTCCATAACTGAGCAAACACAGCTTTGTGTTCCATTCCCAATTGTTATCATTATTACCAAGTGCATCTACTCGAAAATGCCACGATTCAAACTGAATCTCAAGCCAATCGCAGTTTAGACAGACATAGCTTAAGCAAAGCCATTGTCTAAATCACACCACCACCACCACCGCTGCTGCTGCTGATAGAAGTAGTTGTAGTCATATATTCTTCAATTACCTCTGCAACTCCTATTGGGTCTTCTTGTTGCATTCATATATGGGACTAACACAGCATCCTTTTAAACCCACCAAGAAATTAACAATGCTAGTAGAGATGAAGGGATTCAGGAATGAAGAGTAAGAGATGGAGGACTGCATTAAGCATGCAAAACATCAAAATGTGATAATGGGCTTAGCTCAACAATAATGGCCCATCTTGTTAACACCTTCAAAACATATCCAGCTATCTTGTCCTTCTTAATCTTCTCCCCTCCATCTGCTTGTTTGCTAGAAAATCAGATGGCTATAATCTCAGCTTGTGCTTCAACCAGTTGCTACACTCCTCCCTCAGGTTGGTTGGTTTGCCACATTTAGGAAAGATTACTTTTTGTTAATTACTTAGCATCAATCATTGATCTTTCTCTTAATTTCTGTTTTCGCAGGAGGAGAAGGTAGACCGTGTAAGTACACTGGTCAGTCAGTGGTAAACTATTCCATTCCATCTCCCTTCTCATCTGGGTTTCTTTCTCTGGCTGTTTGTATTGACTCACTGAGTTCAAATTCTCTGTTTTTTGGTTGCAGAGAGCGTTACCTATAAGAATTATAACAGTGGGCAAAAAGAGATCAGCTGGGGTACAATTATTAGTGGAAGAATACACTAAGAAGCTCAAAAACTATTGCTCTCTTCATGATCTTCCTATTCGGTCCAACCCCAGAAATGCTCGGTTAGTGTTTGCTCTCTACTCACTTCAATTTGCTTTCTTTTTATATAATTTCACTTCTGTTGGTTATGCTTTGCATTTTTCAATTTTTTTCTATATGTTGTTGTTGTGTTTTAGTGATGAGAAGGCTCAGGTTGATGATGAAGACAAGGCAGTCATGAACCTTATCAGGTCTGATGATTGGGTATACTCTTTCTGTCTGTCTGTCTGTCTCAAACAACATTATTACTACAGGAAACCTTAATTTCCATTTCTTGTTTAGGTTTTGAAGTTAGTTTGCGTTTTGTTTATTTCCAAACTAAATATGCTTAAAACAATTGATTGTAGGAGACATTGATTTACTTGTAGGTTGTCCTGTTGGATGAGCATGGACGGGACATTGGGTCCGAGCAGATGGCTGAATTGATCGGGGATGCAGGGAACACGGTGTGAACTGCTTTTCATCTACTACTGTTTAGGGTTCATCTTAATATCTTTATATATTAGTTCGTATAGTTTGAAACAGAATCTGGACGACTTTTACTCATTGATCAACGTTTTCTTATTGTTTCTAATAATAGGGAGCTTCTAGGTTATCATTCTGCATTGGTGGACCGTATGGTCATGGGCAACAAATACGAAAGCGTGCTAACATTTCGATTAGATTGTCCTCCATGGTTTTGAATCATCAGATTGCGTTGCTTGTGCTTGTTGAACAACTGTATAGGTAAGCTCTTGTTAATATTGGATTCACATTGGATTCCATACATAGTAATATAGTTGCTGGCTCCAAGTTACCCAAGAAATGTGCAAGTTCATTAATCATGTTACATTGAGCACTTTATGAGCATACTGAATATCAATGGTGTGTACGGACACGTTAATATGATCATTAGATGCCAATAGGTAAAAATTTTCTTCTTTCAATATTTTCTTGGAATATTGTTTGTTGCAGGTTGTATGCCTTCTCCTCAAGGAATACTAGACCTAAATCACTGTCACCTCCACTTCTGGAACCTAGTTTGGATATAAGCGAGCAGAAAACAAAAGATAATTAACATGTTTGATGGCTGTATGAATAAACAATTTAAGATATTGTCTTCATAATACTCACACCAAACTTGGTTGATTTGAGACATGGTTTATTATAGGTGGATAGGTGGTTTACAACACATTTTAAATCGGTAGTCTGTCATAAGTTCTCATCACTAATTTATATTTTATATGCTTAGCCATTTTGGATTTTAATTACATTCTCATTCAAGAGCACTACCAGGAACTTATTTATTTTATTTTTCAGGTCATGGACGATTCTGAAGGGGCAAAATTACCATCATTAACCCTTATGGTTGTGATCTTGAATCGTGCCATAGTACTGATACAGGTATTAGACTAATCATGCCCTGCAGATTCCGCTGTCAGCAGCAACTTGTTGGCTGAGTTGATGTATTATGTTGATAGCTTCATTTTCTCAGGTAATAGAAATCATTATAGAAAGGTTGTGCTTGAAATCCAGGACTGAAACTAGATTGAGCTTAATCCCGATGGATCTTCGAAGCCACCTTAAAGATTCATGATGGTTCAACTCTCAATCCCAACTGCGGATTAATTTCAACTTTTTTCTATAAGCATTAACAGGTGATGTCATGGTGTTAGATGAGCACGGGCTTGAAGTTCATGTAATTTGACAAGGGCATTTTATCATGTTATTCTTCGTGCTGGACCATATGCTCAGGGCACAAATGTGTGAACATTCTAATAGATGAATCAAGCTATAACTTGTGTGCCTGTGATCTTGCAGCAATTGGAAAGCATGTGCCAATATGAGCGGCGAGTTTTAATTAGTTAACCCCAAGCTCTACTGTAGCAGCTCCCTCCTGAATTGTAAATCATTTCTAAAAGTCGAGTTCAATGAGCCACTCTCTACTTCTGGTTGCCAGGGCTTCAAGCTCCGGAAAGGGCTTCTTAATGCGCAAGAAGGCAAGCATTTGGTTTTATTTAGAGAGGCATTGCCGTGTGAATCATTTTGATTGCCAAAACTCAAGCTTTATAGCTCAAGAAGTTTAGAGCGTTAAACCAGACGAGGCACTGGTGTAGTCTAGGGTTGATGAAGGGCTCATGAGAGTAGGGATTTGCTTGCACTTCTAGTACGCAGGTTTCCTGGCTTAAAAATTAAAAAAAAAAAATAGACATTGCCGAAACGTTTCACGAAAACTCAAGACTAATTTTAATGACACTGCCGGGAGAGGGCTATCGTCGGTATTGGTCACAAAATACCAACTTGCCTCCTTTCAGACACAGCCCTTGCTCCCCAACTGAATTAACTACTTTCCCATAACTATACCTTAGAGGCATCCTACCCAAAACCTTGTGAAACTCCCTTATACAATCCCCTCTCCTCTTCCTATGCTCCCTTCTCCGGCTACTAAGCCCCACCTCCCTTACCCTGCGCCCCTCCCCATCTTTCAATCCCCTCCCCCCATCACCATCATTCCTTGCATCTCCCCAATCCCTCACCCTCTCTGCCCCCACCAGAATGGGCCCTGCTTTTACCTCATCAGCCACCACAAAGTTCATCAAGATATCCTCGCAATTCTTCATCCTATCAACGGTCCTCCTCATTTCACTCATCTGGGCCCCACCTCCACAGCTATATCTCCACAGATACTCACTCTTCAACATCATAAACTTTGTGAGCACTATAGAGTACTTATCACCATGGACAGTATAAATCCACTGCTTTGCCCCCAAGTCCATATCATGCGACCTTACGAACAACCCGATCAAGCGGTCGGGATTCAGCCTCCAAACCTTGAAAGCAAACTCAAAAGACCTAGCATCGACCTCCACGTCATCATCACAGATCAAAACTGCGTGGGTCCCTATCGAAAACCTGGGGAGAAAACGGTCATTTAAACTGTTAGATCGCTGGCGAACGAGGGAGATGGGAGCTGGACCAAAGGAGGAGAGGGAGAGGTTGTGGGCCAAGTGGGCCAGTGTTTGAGCTGAAGTTGAAGGGTTTCCCCAGAGAACCAGCACAGAAGATACCAGAGGGGAAGAGGTGTAGGTGGAGGCAAGTGATCGGAGGAGAGGGATTCGGGACTCAGAGTAGCCGTTCATCAGAACGGTGATTTGATCAGAACGGAGAGCTCGTGGGTCCCTCCGGTTTGTGGGATCACATGGGTTTGAAGAAGAGAGAGAGATCAGGGCCAGAGGCCATAGAATCAGTAAGGCAAGATAGGGATTCTTCTGCATGTTGTGAGGGCGAGCGAGGTGGTTTCTGGTTTAGGCTTGGGCAAATTATTTAGTGGGAAGGTGGCGGTTTTTGTAATTAGGGGAATTATTTTAATTAAAATTGTAAATATGTAGTTATTTATCGGGAAGTCTGGTTCAGTCCTTTTTTCTTTCTTTTCTTTCTAGGATAAACTATATCTTAGCTCCTTTAAAAATTGAAACGTTCCATTTCGGCTCCCTTATTTAGACGAATGTTTCAATATTATCCTTGCATCTCTTAAACCTTTCATGCTCATCATCATTGGACTATGGTGACGTCGTCGGAGCCATGTTTTCTGAAAGGGTCTCGAGCACTAGAAGAGAAGGAATGACAAGCACTGCTTCCTCGTGGATTCGTGTGGATTAAGCATGTATATCACTCATGAATAATAAGCATCGTTGTTCATGTGATTAACATATATCACTCAGGAATTTGTAATTAAATTTTGATTTAAATGATAAAATTTGTATTTTACATATTTAATTATATGATTAATATATATACTCCCACGATTTCCATTATGATAGTTGTATCTGTTTTAAATGCTTCTTATGTTTCTCATTATCAACATGTATTTATTTCACTAAATAGCTAGTAAAATCTAATAGAAATTCTGTTTTTTTTTTTTAATGAATTTTTGCACTGGTATTGTATTAGAATATTTACGGGATATGCTCTTAAATCCTATAAGGAGTGACGTTGGCTAATTACAGGGTTGGCATAAGCATTAGAAGAAAAAGGATTGAAGTGAAAGATCATTCGAATAATAAGGGCTTAAATTAAACTCACCCTTTTGTTTATCTCTATCCGATGATAACGAGAAGTGCGTGTGGAGATAGATAATTCTTGAAAAAAAAAAAAAAACCATATCGGAAATGTTAACTGTCACTGTAGCTCCTGCGAAAATCAGTTACTTGAGGTCGTTGCCATCTTGCCCGTCGAATAGGACGACACCTCGTTTCTTGAAGCCTGTAAACTGCAGCCCTCCTATCCAGCAGCAAGTCCAAGAAGAACAGCAGCAGGTTTATGGTCTTTATTGATGTTTTGTTAGTAAATATCTTCTAAATTTACTTAGTTTTGTTATAATCTTAAGTTGGTGCAGTTGTAATGAAGGTTACTTCAGGAATACTGTGTGAACCTTGTAATGGAAAAGGGTGGCTTCTTTGTGACTTCTGTAAAGGGCTAAAAACCAATGTTAAAGCTGATAACAAGAGACTTTACCGTCGTTGCCCTTCTTGCAGAGCAGTAAGTAACCCCTTGCCCTTTTCTTGAATTTTAATTTGGATTGTGAAGGTTGAGTGTTTGATTTTTTTTATTTTTTATTATAAGAATTAATGGGGGTGGGTACTGCAGATTGGATATGTGCTGTGTTCAAAGTGCAAAGTTTTCAAGTGTGTAACTTTCCCAAATTATAATGATGGTGAAGACCTTTCGCTTTGAGCTTAGCTAGCATGATGGCATAACCAAGGAAGAAATATTCATGACTCAACTAGTTATTCTCACTTTAAACACCTTGATTGTTGTGAGGAGCTTATGATCTCCAGGTTACTGTCTTCTCCTTCTGTATGATTTTTTTTTTCCCTTCGCGAAAGATTTTCGTCAGGGGGGTACTTTATAATGTTCATAACAAGAGTAATGCAATTGGTTGATTGAATGGCTATTTGTTGAGCAAGTAATGGATAGCGTTTCCTCCTTCATGAAACTGGGCTGTTAATTGCTGGGATGGCCAAGCTTGTTCATTGTTTCTTTTTATGAGATTTGTGAATGCAGATAGATATCCTGGCCATTGCTGGAATAGAGGACTTATTTTGGATAATGGATGCATGATCTTCCATGATAAAAACTTGTTGCTAAATTTAGTTTATGAATCGAAGTTAGTCTTGCATTCGAAATTGACATCCCAAGTTTCCTCTCGGAGACCAAACGCCCGCCCGCCTACCAATCAAAGAGGCTGTGTGTAAGCCAGACAATAGAGAAGGGGAGAAGTATGCCGGAAAATGCTGATTTCTGTTTATCATAATTAAGGCCTTTCATTATTCAATCGAACAACTGGATGCGAAGATTGTTTGCTGTCTTCTTACGTTATTGAATCAAATTTATAATGATCCAAGGACAAGCAAAAAGAAAAGAGGTAGAGTGCAAAAGGTTATGCTTTGATTCTTCTCTAAGCTCAAGAGAACCTAAAATACGTGGGTCGGCTAGGAGGGATTAGTTAATTTTCATCATGCAGTACTGGGTCTACTGACTTGGTTAACTTCATATTCCTTGCCAAACCTTGAAAGAGAACAAGCTCTGCAACTCCGATGTTATGTTGCCTAATCCTGTGTTAGCACTCGAATCTGATGGATCTCCGTTACACAATGGATCATCGTTTCTTTTGATTCTGTTTCTATTTACATCACATGTTAAAATTGTTGTTGATGCATGAGTCTATCATGCTAGGACCATGATTCTCTGTCACTACATCAAGTGTCATGCTAAGCCACATCAATCAACTCATTAATTCTTCTGTGTGCTTCAGCTAATATACAGATTTAAATAAATATGAGCAATGTATAAATTTCAAACTTTCATTTGAGTAAAGGGACGAAATGTTAGAAAATAATATAAATTATATTTTCCTTTCTTTACTATTTGAATTCTTGTTTTCATGGTAAAATTAAAAGGAGTGTTAGGTGCGTGTTTACTGCGATGAATTAGGCTAATCTCACTCGGTGGCCAGTTAAAGACTCTTAAACATGACCTTCAGTGAGTGTCATGTGGGACTCCTCGTTTATTGGATCTTAGAATGGCCTTGTTGTTCTTGGACTCATGTGTGCACATTGAGATTTAAAAAAGGATTTGATGCATCCCTATGATCATGTGCTTGTTCTAGAAGCATGCAATAAATGGGTGCATGTGGATTCAGTGAAAAGGGGCTGGGATTGCTGTATTATATTTTTCAGTTTAGCTTGAATTGGTGCAAATTGCTCTGGTTTCCTGTTATAATCCTTTATGACAGATATCTTTGTAAGCAATATTTCTGCAGTCAAACGCTTGGGATACTGCACTGGCTTTGACGGACTAGACTACCATGCGATTCCATTTAAATTATTGATATCGGGGACTTCCATGCTCTGAAAATCCCAGAGTTACATCCTTGCCGTACTCGTCTCGAATCCTACTCGTGTCCTTACCTGTAGATTTCTCGGATCTTATGCACAAATATCGCGATATATGATTAAACACTTGGCTCCTTTCTTCGCATTGGTACCTTCACCTACTAATGATCCTTTTTAAGTTTCGGTCGCGCCAATAATTCTACTGGGTACTAGCCACCGTTACCGTATTTTTGCGTTCGGGTTATTATTAAAAAAATAAAAATTATAAATAAATTTAAAAATTATAATTTTTTTTTGACAAAAACTAAGAAAAAAAAAACCAAATTAAAATCACTATTATCATAAAAAAATAAAAATTATAAAAGAATTAATTACAAGCTACAAAAACTACGATAAAAAAAAGAAAAAAAAGAAATTATTTTAAAATTAAGAATCAATTATTAAATTAAAAACATAACTAAAACACAACAATCAAAACTCAAAAGTTTGGATTTGAAATACCAAAAAAAAAAAAGGACTATAGTGTTCTTATGAGAGTAGAAAAGAGAAATGGAGAAAGAAAAAAATTTATTAGTGATACACTAACCCAGATTTAAAGCACACACGTAATAAAAAAAGAAGATGAAGAAAAATAATATAAGATGATGGAATAATATTTTAACAATCAAAAACTATTATATAAGCCGTATAAAATGTGCTATGGTCATAATTTTTAAACCCGGCCTGGTGGCTGACCTGGTCCAAGGCCCGGGTTCCGGGTTTTGACCGGGTCACCGGGTTTTGACCGGGTCGAATGGGTCGGCTGGGTCAATTTCTATTTTAAAAAAAATTCAAAACGACGTCATTTTAATAAAAAAATAAATAAAAATCAACGGGTTACCACCGGGTTTTTGACCGGGTTTTGCCGGGTCGTTCGGGTTTCCGAGTCAACCCGCCGGGTCGACCGGGTCATAGCTTACCTTATTTTTTCATCAACCCGGCCCGGTTCCAGCCCCGGGTCGGCCGGGTCCCGGGTCACCCTGCCGAGCCGGGCCGGGTTTTAAAACTATGGCTATGGTTCTAACATGTTGGCTATACACCCTAATAATTTTTAAAATAATTTTTTTATTTTAATAATAAATTATATAATTATTATTAACCAAACATATGATTAAAAAAAAATTAAAGTTAAAATAATAAAATATCTTTGACAATAATAAATTAAATGGTTTGCATTCAATAATATATATGTAATTTTATTATATATATAAAAAATCAAATACTCATACAGACATCACTTAGTTTTTTTTTTGCTGATGGGGTTTTCTGGTTATTTTAATGTTCAGGAAACATGAAAACATTGAAGGAACAAAAATACCTCTAAAAAAACTAATAAAGACTTGCCAACCATTTGAAAATACTAAAATACCCCTAATCCGAAGGTAACCATTTTGTTGATAGGAAGGGCAAAACAGTCAGTGTAGCGATGAACAAGAAAATGCAGCTACAATGAATCTCCCATTACTTTTATTATATTTGTTATATGGTCAATTACAGATGCAGGTGATTTGAACTTCGAAACTCTCTTGGAGTCGTCAAAGGTACTGACAGAGGTCTGGTGGGGTGTCGCCATCTGGGATTAGCTGCTTAGGGCATTTGGATCTTTTCCTCGTCACCTGCTGGTTTTGGTTATGAACCTGCTGGATTCAATCCTCATACGCTTTAATGTCGCCGCCACCACCACCGCCACCACGAACAACAGGCACAAACTCAAAAGTAGAAGATCATGCACAAATGCATTTAAGTTCAATAACATGAATTCAAAGTTCTTTATGTTCTTTCATTGATTCTTAAAATGTTCTCTTACAATTCAAAGCAACTTATTAAACTCACTAGATCTCTCTTACATGGCCTCATCCAACTACAAGAAAAAAGTGAAATGAGGTTAACAAGGATGATAGGAACAAAAAAAACTATCTGCACATTGGACTTTGAGGATGGTGAGATGGAGTTTGCTGGCTTTTCGACGAGCAATACACCGCGATATTATCAACGTCAAGCCTGCATTCTTGCATGAAGAACAGGTCTTTCTTTTCCTCCACCAGTTTCAGGATACTCTCAAAGACGGCGACTTCACAAGGAATCCTTAAGACACCTGCCTGTTGAAACCCAAATTCCTCTTCTGCTTCTCTCAATAAGACGAGGAATGCAGGGTGGCTCAAATAATCTGTTGGAATTATGAATCTCTTTTGCTCTTCTCCAACGCCGACAGCCAGGTAGCCCTTTGGGACGGCATTGCTCGAGGTTTCCTTGGCAGAGTTATCTGATATAGAGAGTGTTCTCTTGAGAAACTTCATGCTCTTACTGCTGGTGGTGGTAGAAACTGCACTGGTTTTTGATGAACTTGCAAGCTTCCTCCACTTCTTCAGGATCTGTTGAAGCCTAACAATGTCTCTAATCTTGTTAGACTTCTTGGAATCCATGGCTTCTTCCTGGAGAAGTAGGTTCTGTTAGGTAGCTTTTTTCAGGACAGCTTGCTATTGTCACCTCATGGTGGGACTTTCAACTTATAGGAGTTGAAGCCCTCGGGCCTCCCTCCCCGGGAATTCTGAACTTTATTTTATTCGATTTTTTATTTTCAAACAACCAGAAGAGAACCCATTAAAGAAATAAAAAGATTGGTTGTGGAAGGTAAGGGTCCTGGCTAGTACTGGTACTTCTGAGGTAGCTAGGGTTTGTTTTTTTCTCTCTTGATTTCATGCCACCCTCCATGGGGGATTTATGTATTTAAAAGAGCAAGCACCTAGACTGAGATGATGCTCACGGGAATTAATTAAAAAAATGGAAGAAGGTTTAATCTGAGGAGTTCTTCTGTGGTCAAAACCAGTGACTCCTCAAGTTTCCTGCGCAAACTAAAGGCACCTCGTACAACTCAACTGTACCGATCAATTTACTTGAATAATTAACTGTCTTGATGGCCCTGTGCGCAAGGTGTTTAGAACTCCAAGGGAACCCCATGTGAAGGTGGTGGTGTTTCTTAGCCACTTGGCAGGAAGGAGGCTTTGACATTGAGGCCGGTGTTACCTCTCTATTATTGCATTGCATTGGCGGGGTAACTTTTGCAGTTTAAAATCACAGGCTTAAGAAAAGCTATATTTTTTATATATAAAACAATTAATTAATTTTTTATTTAATGGACCTCTGTAAAATTAGGGAGTATATTTATTATCAAATATTTTCAAGAATATAATCGGAATAAAATACAATTTTAACCATACAACACCATACTCTTGCACTAATCGGAATAAATCCATGTCATGCTAATGATTTTATTAATCTTGAGATCGTATAATGCTCCAAGTTAATATGGTTAATGCTGTATTTTTATTTTTTTAAAATTAGATAAATAAAATATTTAATTTTGATTAATGTGTAAATTAAATTAGAAATATAGTTAATTATCTAGTTATAAGATTGGACTGACAAGTTAATTTTATGATTTATCAATTTAATTTAATGAAAAAAATCAGTTTTTTATTTAAAAAAAATTAAAACAATTTGGATCAACTCACTTAACTTATATATTGAATCTTAAGCTAAATCAATCCCATAGTTAAATTTTATAACCATGGTTAATTATGAAAAATAATATCCACACAAAAGATTATGCGTGCGTTGATCCAAATTTGATTTATGAGAAACAAGATTTTCATGTTATTTTAATTACAAGTGTTGAAGATTGATGAAATATACATAAAAGTTTATTTTAATAATTATAAAACGGAAATGAAAAAATTGGTAATAAATTAATCTATTTTTTTAATCATTTCTTAAGCTCCTTTCTCCTTCTTAATCATTGGATTAATACTTAAATAGAAGCGTAACGTGACCCGCACTTCATTTCCATTGATTAGCGCGGAAAACTTTTGAACATGGATTGGAATGAAAAATAAATAAATAAATAAATAGCCTCGATGCATGTGTCGTCATCATCTGCCCTTTGAATTTTAAAAGACGTGCTTTTTTCTTTTTTAATCATTGCTAAAAACAAATTTATTAATATATTATTCTAATTAAAAAACCTTAAAAATATTATTAACTACATTAATAAACACACACGATCTAAAGATATTAAGATTATCCTTTACAAAAGAAGATGTTACTCCATGGTTTTTCTTTTTTATACAAACATATTTAAGCTCAAATTGGAAAGTCTGATTTATGAAACTTACAAGAAAATGATTTATTATTGATTAAATTGAAGGAGTAATTTTAATTTAATCGTGTAAAGATCAAAAAATAAACAATAATACTGGCCATGAAACAAAATTAAACTCTCATTGATCAAAATCTCTCAACAAACAAAGCAAGGACCGCATCAAGCAACTGAAATCTGTCATCTAGCTCAAAATCCGATCGGATTATCATCTCAGGTTGGCATGAAGCACATACAATTCATGGCAAGAACAAATGACAAGAAAAACAAAATATGGCAAGAATCAAATCCTGCTAGCATGGTGATACATCAATGCAAAATTCTTATCCATACCACACCACAAAAAATTAGAGAATAAATATCACTCCCTTAATCCTATATAAACCATGTTATTAAACCCGGTTGGGGCAACCTAGTTGTTTAAGATTAATCTGATAAATTCATAAAACAACTCTTAAATTAAGTTTAATTAACTTAATTGCAAGCCAATCATTGATTGTGTGGGAAGAAAAGAAATAAAATCAATCTGAAATTAAAAAAATAAGAAAAGGAGAAAGTCAAGAAGAAATAATTGAAACCAAACTCTCCAAGCGCTGCCAACTTTGGATTTCAATAGGGAGTAAGGACATACATTCAATTAGACAGCTAATTACCAAACTTATTCTTAATCTCAATCTCCTTGCTGTCTCAATAATTCAAAGCTTTCTCCATGATAGCACCACCCGCTGGAAAAAACCCTAATTCCTTTAATGCCTTGTCAAGACGAACCAATTCTTAGTTAAAAAACATGATTTGATATTAAATGAAGACCACACCAATTAATCATCGGGAAACCTAACAATTTATTTTAGGTGCAAAATACTGTGTATTAAATTAATTGGGAATTGGATGTGCCATAAAGCAATTAATTAGTTGACCCCAATAATAAATTAATTATCATGTAACCGTCTTGATATTGAAAAGAAACGTTAGCTCTCCACATGTGAGCCACCGCCACAGCATCCTTCCGATGACGTCAGCTTTACACTTTCCACACTATTATAATTAACCCGTAAAAAACTACACTCCATGTAACATTAATTTTTTTTTTATTTACGTGGGGTATCCGGCCAGCTTACGCGCACCACGACTAATTTTTACGGTCCACTAAATATCTTGCAAGCCCAGTAGGCATGTAAGGCACCGCGGGGGTGACAGGCATGCACGCCAGGGCTCGAACCCAGGTGCAGTGGAAAGAGACAAACCCCTTCTACCACTAGACCAAGCACTGAAATGCACAATGTTACATTAATCTTTTTGTTTAATAGGGTGAGAGATACGTTTGAGTTAAATTCTACATTAATTAATTTATTTCTGCAGGGATGGCAATAAGCATTTACAAGTTAAATCTTTACTGTATATATTATTCATGGGATAAAAAATTTAAGAACTGAATTCTATCCATTATATTTCGATTATTTATTAAGATGCTTCTTACACGAGTATTACTTAAAATAAAAGAATAATATATGTATAAAATAATTATCCAAAAACTCTACTCATGAAGGTCGGATTCGGTGTTTATGGTATTTGGATTAAATTGTCTGGGACCAAGAGTTAGCCCACAAGTGAGCTAAAAACCCAACTGGCTTGGACTGTGGGCGAGTGAATGACTTGCCTTGAAATCTCTAATGAACCAGGAGATGCTAGCGGGCAGATTAGCCCACAGCCTGAACCAAGAAAACCACTAGGTTTTGCTGGGAGGCCCAATTCATGGGGCGGGCCGAAGATAACACGCTCACCCCCCCCCCCCCCAACCCCCCCCCC